TCAGTTGAACAGGCTTCCTTCCTTGGAGGTTTTCAAGCAGAGGCTAGGTGGCCATCTGACAGCAATGCTGATTCTGTGGACTTAGGCAGATCATGAGAAGGGAGGGCAGGAAGGGTTGCCTTAGGGCTTAGTTCTCTCTCTCTCTTTTAACATTTGTTTATTGGTTTTTACAAACACAAAGACAAATTTCCCATACAGTGTGAGTCTACCAATCTACATCATTACCCATTTATTTACTCTCGACCATCTGTTCAAATATATTTCCTCATCCTTACCCTGCATTAACAAACTCAGTTTATCCATTTCTGCTAAGTTCAACAGTCTATAAGCTATTTTTTCCCTGGTGGGAGTTTTCTCTGATTTCCAATATTTTGCTTCGTTCTCATGGCCCTTTCTTACACGCCCAGGGAAATGCCAATCCCCACTTTGGGGACAGGCAGCAATGTTTCTCCAGGCCAGTTTGGCTGAGGATCCTGGAGGCTTGTTGTCATCTTCTGGGCACGGAGCAGGGGGCACTGGGGGTGTGGAGGGGGAGGTATTTGTGAATTTCCTGCGTTGTGCAGGGAGTTGAACTAGATGACCCTGGAGGTCCCTTCCAACTCAATGATCCTATGCTTCACAAAATTAGCAACAATAAATGCATGAGGCTTCCAATACAAGGTTAAGCAAGCTTGGTGGCTTCAAAGCTGCAATTAAAATTTCCAAATAATTATCTGTGTTTGATTGATTTGTAAACACGTGGAGGGGATTAAAGTCACCAACACATAAAATAATCAGGTTTTTTTTTAAAAAAACAATCAGGTTATGAATTCACCTGATTGGCTAGGCGGGTCAAATCAAAATCAAAGCTAAAATTCTTCTGCCTCCTCTTGCGTGGTGGAAAAGGTATTGCTGTCATCAACCTGATACAGAATTAATAAGGAGTAATTTGAGTCATAAAGTGTCCCACTGACCTTCGCGGACGAGAGTTAAATTCCGTCGAAACAAATGAGTGGACTACCATATCCATGGTATACCATGCATAGTTCTTTGAGTGTATTAAAATTAGAGTATCAGTTTTTAGTATCTTCATTCCACACACCCCACCCCCATTTATATAATGTAAGGGGGAAAGTCTATGCTATACTGTGTTCAAATTATTATCCTAGTAATTTGTTGTATTGATCTGGATACCATTTAAACTACACTTGAAACCCCCCCCCCCCTAAAAAATTCCCGTTCAACATTTTGTTTATTTTGAGACATAACATTTGTGCTAAATCAGAGCACAATCTATTTAGGGCACTGGATAATTTTCTGGAAAGTTTGTATTTTATTTTTTCCCCCTGGAAGACCCACATCACTGATAATCAACATTATAGAATCTGATCATTACTAGAGAACTTGTAATATGGGAGTGGGGCGCCAGTCTTCTACAGCAACATTTCCTAACTTGCAGTTAATTCTGTATGTCAAGTTTGAGGACGGCACATTTATCAGCAAGAGGGCAGAGTATTCATTCATTTATTTTCAAGTACTTTTCCCTGTATTTTTCATATGTGCATGTGTGTACACCTGGAAGTCATGGCGACCTCTGGTGACTGTCCCCTACTGGTGGCCTGGAGGATATTTAGAGGTGGCTGAATATAAGCCTGCTCCTGTCCTCCCAACTGCTGGTATTCCATGGAGGTCTCCCACCCAAGGACTTGCCAGAGTCGACCCTGCTTAGCTCCCGAGATCTGATGCGATCAGGCTTGCCTGGGATATCCAGGTCAGGGCAGAATTCATTCATTTATGATGCTGCCCAGGTGTTCCTTGTCTATGGCACACTCAGAGGCCTTGCTGGTAGGAGGTGTTCAGTACCTGTTTTCAGCACCCCTGAAATCTCCAGCTCTTAGAAGTGATGGTACGTGGAAGAGGGGAATGGCTTGTTCAGTTACAGGGCAGATTTCTGTCGAGCGTTAGGAGAAGCTTCCTAGCAGTGAGAACGGTTCCGCAACGGAACCCCCCGGGGAGTGGGCTCTCTGGCAGCAGGGGATATCAGATCCTCTAGAGCTTTGAGTTCTTTGCATTGAGTAGGGGTTGCCTACGGCCAGACCATCTTGGACACACCCTATCTCCGAAGCTAAGCATCGAAGGTTAAAATAGATGGCCTCTAAGGCACTAAAGGTTCCCTTGCTCGAAAGCCAGTCGAATCCGACTCTAGAGTTGCGGTGCTCATCTCCGTTTCAAAGCCGAAGAGCCAGCGCTGTCCGAAGACGTTTCCGTGGTCATGTGGCCGGCATGACTAAACCCCAAGGCGCACGGAACGCTGTTACCTTCCCACCGGAGTGGTACCTATTTATCTACTTGCAATTTCTTGCTTTCGAACTGCTAGGTTGGCAGGAGCTGGAACTAGAGACGGGAACTCACTCCGTCATGTGGCACACTCGGGTCTCAAACTGCTGAACTACTGCCCTTCCACAGCCTGCAGTTCAGCGTCTTAACCACTTGAGCCACCGCAGCTCCTAAGGCACTAGGATTCTGATAAAGAATTGTTTTAACAATTGACCCAAAAGAATCCTGCTTCACTTTGGAATGCAACAGACACACAGATGAGCACAAATCCTAGCCACACTATTTATTGTAAGGGTCGAGTGTGGGGGAAGCTCACCTAGAAGACCTCACCTAGAGTATCGTGTTCAGTTTGGGCACCACAATTTAAGAAGGACATAAACAAGCTGGATTGTGTCCAGAGGAGGACAATGAAGATGGTGAGGGGTCTGGAGACTGTCCTATGAGGAAGGGTATCTTTAGCCTGGAGAGGAGATGACTGAGAGGTGATAGGATAACCATCTTCAAGTACTTGAAGGGTTGTCATATAGAGGGTGGTGCAGAGTTGTTTTCTGTTGCCCCAGAAGGTCGGACCAGGACCAATGGGTTGAAATTAAATCAGAAGAGTTTTCAGCTAAACATTAGGAAGAACTTCCTGACAGTTAGAGCAGTTCTTCGGTGAAATAGTCTTCCTCGGGAGGTGGTGGGCTCTCCTTCGTTGGAGGCTAGATGGCCATCTGGCAGCAATGCGGATTCTGTGAACTTAGGCAGATCATGAGAGGGAGGGCAGGAAGGGCTGCTTCAGTGCTTAGTTCTCGTGGCCCGTTCTTACACACCCAGGGAAATGCTGATCGCCACTTTGGCGTCAGGAAACCATTTTTCTCCAGGCCACTTTGGTCAGGGATCTTGGAGGTTTTTTTGCCATCTGGGCATGGAGCAGGGGTCATGGAGGGGGGGAGGTATTTGTGAATGTCCTGAATTGTGTAGAGGGTTGGACTAGATGACCCTGGAGATCCCTTCCAACCTGATTGTATAAGGTCCCCGTGTCCTGTTACCCGGCATCAATGGACTTCTCTACCCGCATTTCACTGTTCCAGAATCCCAAATGTCAGTCATAATGCAACTAGGCAAACATAGATGAATGAAGACGAATACAAGATGCCAGAGGAGAAGAAGAAGAAAAAAGGTCTTCTCATACGGGTTAACTCTTGCATAACTCAACTGCGTGCAGACATGGGGGGGGGGGATGCATCAGGCAAAGGAAGGAACAGCAAATACCAGGCAAAGGCTGAAAGCCAAACCAACGCCTATATGCATTTGGGATCTCGGGCCATGCAGTTGCAACCTTAGGTGTGGCTAGTTTCAACACAGAATGCTTCCGAAAGCTAATTTGTTTGGCAAGGGAGCACCAGGGATGCAATTCGGCAGCATTCCGAAACTTGGTAAAAGCATGCTGAGGAATTCTAAGACTCACCTGTGCAGGTGCCAGTCCTTGAGGTAAAGGCACCCTCGGGGCGAGCGGTAATTTTTTTTAATGTGTTCCTTCCAATAGCTTATGTACTCCTTGAGTTTGAGGTGTTCCTTTGGGTTAGAATTGTATTCCTTGACATCACAGTTGGCAACGGGTACTACAGCCTCCCCTGAAACATAAACTCTTTGAGCCCATTGGGGAGAAGAACGGGAAGCCATATTGGGGGTTATCGATAAAAAGAGCGCCAGGCCCTCCAGCCTGTCAACGGGGTCAGCAGTCACCTCTGAGGCAGAGCTAAGTGGTCTGCGGAACGACGAAGCAAACAAAAGGAACTCCCTGCAACTGTTTCCTGATCAACTGAATGCTGGGAAATATGGACTGATCAGCAGAACTGCCTAGAACGCATGAAGGTTCTACTGAATCAGAACCTTCAAGGTCAGTATTGTCTACACAGACCGGCAGCTGCTCTCCAGGGTCCTCAGGCAGAGGTCTTTCCCATCACCTACTACATCACCTTTTAAACCAGAGATGCCAGGGATTGAATTTGGGACCTTCTGTGTGCAGAGAAGGTACACGGCCACTGAGACACAGCCCCTCTCCAAACAGACCAGGAAAGGTCTTTCAACTAGACTTCTGTTCTAAGAACATAAGAACATAAGAGACGCCAATGTTGGATCAGGCCAAAGGCCCATCCAGTCCAACACTCTGTGTCACACAGTGGCCAGAAATACCAGTGCCATCAGGAGGTCCACCAGTGGGGCCAGGACACTAGAAGCCCTCCCACTGTTGCCCCCCCCCCAAGCACCAAGATGACAGAGCATCACTTGCCCCAGAGCCCCTATCTATACCTTGTGGCTAATAGCCACTGATGGACCTCTGCTCTACATGCTTATCTAATTCCCTTTTGAAGTTGTCCATGCTTGTAGCCATCACCACTTCCTGTGGCAGTGAATTCCATTCAGTGAATTCTGAAGCAGTTATCAGATCTTGACTGTTATGCATTATTATTACCGTAAAACACAGCCCTTTGCTTGCTTCTCACATTCACGTGCCTACAGAAAAACAAATGCTCTGGTGGGCTTTTCTTAAATTGAGAGATGTATCTTTTATGCCTGCTCATGATCAAATTGAAGAGGAAATCGAGATAAGCATAGACAATCTATAACCTTTTGTCTTAAGTGTGTTCTCCAGTAACATCTGAAGAGCCAGCGTAGTGTGGTGGTTAATAGTGGTGGACTCTGATCTGGAGAACTTCCTCCACAGGAAGCCTGCTGGGTGACCTTGGGCCTGTCCCAGTTCTCTCAGAACTCTCTCAGCCCCACCTGACTTACAAAGTGCCCGAAAGGGAATGTGATTGTAAGCGGCTTTGAGGTAGAGAAAAGCAGGTCATAAAAAACTTTTCTTCTTTTTTAAATCATTTGTCCCAGAGCTGGTCTAGCGACTGGCTAAAAAACGGAGGTAGGAATGAATAAGCCACTGGTTTGAATCTCACCTGTCCCACGAGGTCAGGCAGTGGTCTAGGCAAGCTCTACATGCTTAGCCTTAGCCCCGCCCCGCCCCGCAATCTATTACAGCTATAATAACGCTGGTCTCTCTTGCAGGGTCATTGAAAGCACGAGAAGTTAAACGTTTGCCCTGAGCATTCCCAAAGTGCTACATAAAACCGAAGCATTCTGATAACCTGCCCCTAGCGCTGACACACTTTATAGTATGAGGTCCCATGGACATGCCAAGCAGCTCCTCGGAATGCTCTTGACTTTGTACTCAATACTCATAAGTGTGAAGAAAACGTGTATATAATTTCTGGTTTGTGTCGATCAACACCAACCACTCTGCTCCACCCTCTAAGTCGGAGGCTTTCCAGAGCATAAAGCACACTCAATAGATGCTTGAGTGTTCTTGGAAACCTTGAAAGACAGGGATCTAAGGACGTAAGAAGAGCCCTGCTGGCTCAGACCAGTGAGGATCCATCTAGCCCAACGTCCTGTCTCACATAGTGGCCAACCAGTTCCTCTGGAGGTGCTCTGATGCCAACTGGAGTCCACCCCTGAAACCCTCTGGGTTTTGGGCCACAACCCTTTCTTCATGGACCTCTGCACATCTCGACAGGTAGTATCACCCCATGACCCCTCCATTAGCTATCAATCACCTCTACTTCCTTAAGTCTGTATTGTGTGCGTGAATGCTTAATTATTGTTTGTTTGCTTGAGAATATTTAGTAAAGAAAGCCTTATTTTAGCCACCCAGTCTCTTTGTCTATCCCTGGGTTCTTGGGAATTCTAACTCTGGTATACACAGGTCTGATCCTATAGTTATGCCAATTGCATATTAATATCACAATTCCCCAATCTTTTATTAAAGAAATAGAGCAATTCGGCTAACAGGCAACCACAGGGCACAAAAGCCGAGGCCTTCCCCTAATGTTGCCTCCCGGCACTGGGATTCAGAGGTTGACTCCCACTGGAGGACCACCAAAAAGAAAGCTTCCGTATCATCAAAACTGAATCTGTCAATGGCCAATCGTGGGCCCAGTACAATATTTTCATTCACTGATTTAGTCTTGGAATGACGCTAGCTGGCATATCAGAGCTGTATTACAGACAGAAGGAAAGAGAAAGGGGGGGGGGGGGAAAGAAAAGCAATCGATTGCTAATTGAGGTGGGTGACCACAAACGATACTGTGTGCAAAAGCCAAAGACATATCAAAACTTTTCACTTTAATTGACACTGACCGAGAACGTCTAGCGATTGTAATTTAAGGCTGACTTACCGAACGTCCGCAGCAGATAGTCAAAGTTTGGCTTCCCGTCTGGGGTCACCCACTTCCTCCTGCTGCCCCAGCCCTCGGTGAATTTCGCAGAGAAAACACAGGGGTCGTTGGGAATCAAGTAATCCTTGAAAAAGTCTGCATACGTGAATGTGTCTGGCTTTTCGATGTAGTCGACATGGTTGTGGGGTTGACAGCTCGCCCCCCGAGGTTGGCCGCTATAATCGCGGAAAAACTTAGTAGCGCAGGCAAATGTGTCCCTGTCCATTCAGGCGACAACAAGAGTCTGACACCCAGCTTAACGGGGGACAGACAGACAAGGTTAAACTATGCTAAAAGAAAGCTGGACGGTAAAACCGAAAAAGTGGATGGAGGGAAGGAATCAGAAATCAGGGAAGACGGAGTGCATCACATGAAAGAGTCCAGTTCCAAATCTTGCTAGAAAATCTTCCCATTTGGCTTGTACTGTATATGGCTACTTATTCTGTTGGCTGCTTTTGGTTCTTCAGAATGCTTGCTTTCCAGAGCTAAAGCACACACAACTGTGCTGTTTCGCTTCCGTGAGTCTCTCTGGCATCTCGTGGAGAGCAGCAGGTGGGCACAGCCTCGGGCAGATGTCTAGAAACAAAAGAGCGATATAGTCACTTCAAAAATTGCCCTCCAAATTTGTCCACAATGATTTATAATCCTAAGAACACCAGAAGACCCCTGCTGGATCAGACCAGGGAGGGTCCATCTCGTCCAGCATCCCGTCTCCCACAGTGCCCAGCCAGTCCCTCTGGAGAGCCAACACCAGGGCATAGAGGCCAAGGCCTTCCCCTGATAAGAGCATTAGAAGAGCCCTGCTGGATCAGACCAGGGAGGGTCCATCTCGTCCAGCATCCCGTCTCCCACAGTGCCCAGCCAGTCCCTCTGGAGAGCCAACACCAGGGCATAGAGGCCAAGGCCTTCCCCTGATAAGAGCATTAGAAGAGCCCTGCTGGATCAGACCAGGGAGGGTCCATCTCGTCCAGCATCCCGTCTCCCACAGTGCCCAGCCAGTCCCTCTGGAGAGCCAACACCAGGGCATAGAGGCCAAGGCCTTCCCCTGATAAGAGCATTAGAAGAGCCCTGCTGGATCAGACCAGGGAGGGTCCATCTCGTCCAGCATCCCGTCTCCCACAGTGCCCAGCCAGTCCCTCTGGAGAGCCAACACCAGGGCATAGAGGCCAAGGCCTTCCCCTGATAAGAGCATTAGAAGAGCCCTGCTGGATCAGACCAGGGAGGGTCCATCTCGTCCAGCATCCCGTCTCCCACAGTGCCCAGCCAGTCCCTCTGGAGAGCCAACACCAGGGCATAGAGGCCAAGGCCTTCCCCTGATAAGAGCATTAGAAGAGCCCTGCTGGATCAGACCAGGGAGGGTCCATCTCGTCCAGCATCCCGTCTCCCACAGTGCCCAGCCAGTCCCTCTGGAGAGCCAACACCAGGGCATAGAGGCCAAGGCCTTCCCCTGATAAGAGCATTAGAAGAGCCCTGCTGGATCAGACCAGGGAGGGTCCATCTCGTTCAGCCTCCCGTCTCACACAGCAAGCAACCAGTTCCTCTGGAGGCCCAACAACAGGGCAGAGAGGCCGAGGCCTTCCCTTGATGTTGCCTCCTGGCTCTGGGATTCAGAACTTTTCAGCCTCTGAACGTGGAGGTTCCCTTTAGTCCCCATGGCTAGTAATTCCCTTTAGTCACCACAACTAGTCCTATAGCCCCTAGTTTGACCAAACAGTCCACCGAGGCGATTTTTCACTCCTATAAATGTCAACAGCATTAGGCTCCATTGCACAAGTTATGCATCCATGATGCAGCTCTTTGGAGGGGAAAAGGTATGAAAAATTAATGCATTACAGACACAGAGACGCTCACACTGCACTGGCCAAAAGGGGGCAAAGGCTGGGTCAGCAACTTACCCCCTTTCCTAGGTGAGAAAGACGCAACGTCCGACCTAGAACCTTGCCTCGCCCATGGCAACTGCGTGTTCTACATATTTTAAAGCCTGCAGCCTCAAACTATCAATCACATCAAGTTTTGTGCACTATTAGGTACCAAGCAGACGCCTTCTGAAGTCTAGCAGTGTGAAAAAGAGCAAAACAACTTCAGAGAGTATACCGACACAACTAACCCCACCTAAATCTTGCATCTCCCCCCATAACCTTTCATTAAGCAGGAGCTATCTCAGGCTCAATTCCCTTAGAATTCTGCCATCTGGGACGCAGCGATTAGCTGGAAGTTTCTTGCTTGTATTAGACCTGGCACCAGTATTCTCCCTATTAGAGATATTACTTACATCCCCGCTCCCAGCTAATATTTAGGTCTCAAGGCATCTTACAAAGAAAACATTTCAAAACACAACTCAACAGGGAAAAGGTTTAAGAGCTATACTAATAGCAGCAAGAGGAGATAAATCTGGTTTTTAATATTAAACCAGGGTGTTTGGGGACAGGAAGGGTGTGTGTGTGTGCCTGTCTCTCTCCTGGATGCTTTTTTGTAAGGTTGTAAAATACATCAGAAGATCCCATCAAGAATGTAATTGGGTGGTCTCAGGCAAGTTTCTGTCTCTCTCATGCGCCCCCATCATTATCTGAAGAAGTGAGCAGTGGCCCTTTCTTACACGTCCAGGGAAATGCTGATCACCACTTTGGGATCAGGAAGCAATTTTCTACAGGCCAGTTTGGCTGGGGATTTTGCAGGGTTTTTTGTCATCTTCTGGGCGTGGAACAGAGGTCACTAGGGTGCGTGGGGGGAGGTATTTGTGAATTTCCTGCATTGTACAGGGGGTTGGACTAGATGACCCTGAAGATCCCTTCCGACTCTCTAATTCTATGACTCCTGAAGTCTCCTCCCCTGCCACAGATTTTGTTAGTCTTGAAGGTGCTCCTGGACTCTTGCGCTTTTCTACTGCTAAAGACAGACTAATATGGCTGCCCATCCCATGTAATATACCGCTTGGGACCAATGTTCCCTCTAAGTTGTGGAGTCTTGTGAGCAAAAATTCTATTTTGTGAGCTACTGGCATTAAAGTTGTGAGTGAGCAATTTGGTGATTGCATAAATCAGTTTGCTCTGGAGCCATCCTTCCCAAGCTAAGACAGAAATGTGTGAGCCAGAGGCTAAGAAACTGTAAGCTGGCTCACACTAACCCCGCTTAGAGGGGCCACTGGTTGGGATATATTTTCCTGCATGACGAAGTTTGTCAGAATAAATATAACTTGACTCAAGTGCCCGGCGTGCATTCACTGCATTACATCCCCTCTCCAAGTGTCTCTTCTTTACAGCTTCTGCCCAAATGCAAACTTCACAATTACCAGCTATCTTATTTTTTTAAAAAAAGCCTAGATATTATTCTTTTAAAAAACCAGACTATACATAGTTTTATTCCTCCCCCCCTTTCCATTCCCAACCTTTCTCCTGAGCTCCCACCCCACCAAGAGCAGCACTCATCTCCATCCCCCCCCACATATTGCAAGCAATTCCCCCCTTGATTCTTAGCCTCTCCCCCCCTCCCGCAATTTTGCAGGCTTCTCTTAGGGGGGGGGGGTGGATT